CTCTTCATTTTTTTCAGATCTCTCAACTCTCTCTCGCCCTTCTCTGATGGGTTTTACTGGGGAGTTTACACGGTTGAGTTTCGGGGGCGGTGGTGGATTTCGGGAATGGATAGTGGGTGGTGGTGGGTTTCGGGGATGGTTAGTGGGTTTTGCTGGAGAGTTTCAAGGGTAGGTGGTGGGTTTCAGTGGGGGTGGGTTGGGGGTTTCGATGGTGGGATTGGGGATAAATTAGGAGTGGATTTCGGTGGTTGTGGTGGTGGGTTTCGATGGGCTGTGAGTTTTGGTGGTGGGGTTGGGGGTGGGTTTCGATAGTAGGGGTGGGGTTGGATTGCGGTTGGATTTCGGTGGTTGTGGTGGTGGATTTCGGTAGTTATGTTGGGGGTGGCTGTGGGTTTCGGTGGTGGGGTTTGAGTGTGGGTTTCGGTGGTGGGGTTGGGGTTGGATTGGGGGTGAATTATGGTGGTTTGTGGTAATAGGTTTCAGTGGTGGGGGTGGGCTATGAGTTTTAGTGGTGGGGGTGGGCTATGGGTTTCGGTGGTTGGGTTGGGGTTGGTTTTCGGGGGTGGAGTTGGGTGGTGATTTTGGTTGGTTAGTGGGGTTGGGTTGTGGGGTTTGGGTGGTAAATTTTTGGTATAATACCAAACAAGTTTTTTATTTTTGTTTTCACCATTTTTTAAATATAAATGACTACAAACATGTTTTTTATTTTTAATTTTTATCACAAAAAAATAAAACAAAAATTAGTTCTAATTTTTTTTTTATAAAAAACACAATGTTTAGTAAATTTTTTAAGTATAATATAAAACAAACAAATTAGGTATGAAAGGCCTTAAGAAGACTTTTCTCCCTAAATGCTAATTTACTAGAATTTTAAAATATTTTATTAGTTCACTCCAATCAAAACATTACATGTGTCCTTTGTAACAACTCCCACCATTTTTTAAACTACTTCAAAATTTAAACTTTCAATCATCTTTCTTAATTATTTAAAATATAAATGAATATTATTTTAATACTAATAGAAATTATGTAGAGATATTATGGTAACAAAGGGGTTTGGTAGTAAGGTGATAATAGGAAGAGATAATAAATTTCGTACATCGCACGGGTGCCTACTAATAAATAATAAACTTATCAACTTAATTTTATCAATTAGGAAAAAAAATTAAGTGCCCACCCAAGAAAGATTTTCTAGCTCCGTCCTTGCAGACACTCAAGGAGATTTATAAGTACCAATATGTAGTGAAATATGTCTTAAAAATATACTATCAAATGCTAACCTTGATCCGATTCTATAATAGTTCATGTTGGACAATCAAGTCAATTTTTATTTTACCATTTTTGTTGCATGACGACTTATATCAGAAATATTATTAAGTAATATGTGTTTATTAGACACCCCCAACATTATTATCGATAGATATTTTTTTAGTCATTCGTTGGAGGATAAATCACTACAAGGGACAGAGAGACTTTTTTTCCTTTGATACAAGCGTAGAAACCCACTTGAATACATATCGGCCATAGCTTCAATGGCAAAAACGAAGATTACTTTTGAAATAGAATACCAAGTTACTTTCCATGAATATTTTCCGAATAATTGTGGATTACAACATTATACATTAAGACGCCTCCATTGATTTTTTATTGATGTTTAGTAGAACCCACTAAAAAAGACATATTTGCAGATGTTGACATTTGGCTACATGTTTGCTGGGTCATAATGCATATGTGTGCACATAGCTGAAAGGGCGACCTCATGAACAATCTTTCTTGGCTTCTTCTGCTACTGGAAGTAGGACTAATGCGACCACTCGAAATCGAATTGGACACCCTTTTCATAATTAGTTCTTTTCTAAAGAGGTCAGTGTCTTTCAGATAGTAGTCAAAATGAAACTATACTGCCCTTCATCTATCAGTTGTCATTTTTTTAATCTGTCAGATTGTATGAATGATAAGATTTCATTAGTTAATAATTCAACTCCCAAGTTTGAATTGTCTTATTCGACACCTATGATTTACAGTTAATTATGTATATTCTGATTTGACATAATAATCACAAGAAAAAACGACTTATGATTGGAAAAAGTCAGTCATAAAACCATGTATATTAGGACGGGTAGGGAAAATTATGATCCGTAAAACGGTTACAAAATTGCCCGGTGTGCTGCCTTGTTTGCTGGTCGTTTGACAGCATTTAATATTATAACATCGATCACTCCTTGTAGTTCCCTTCATGGCATTTGGAAGTGTCGGATGAAAGTTTATCAATGTCTATAATTGAATCTTAAGAATGAACAAGATATCTTTTGATTTAAAAAAAACAAAAAGAAGTTGGTTAAAGAAAAAAAATGAGTGGACAGGACATTGTTGTAGTGTTAATCTAACATTTTTGAAGGCATAAATCATATTCTGCGAGTTATAACCAAAAAAACCATAAAATGCTGTGTTTGTTTGTTTTTATTATGGGAGGTATCTTGAGAATGAGTTCGACTCTCCATTGTAAAAAATCGACGATGGAGTATTGCTGGTTTCATTTGCATTATAAGGAACATCAACGCGACAACTTTCTTCTGCCCATTGCATGTTCTTTGCCTATTAATTAATGAGGTCAAATACAGCATGTCCACCTAAAGATAAAACCGGCAACCATACGATGGCAAGTGTCATATCTGATAATCCTCTTTCGAATTGACCCATTTTGAAACCTAGTTCAACTAACACCACCGTTCCTCCAAATTGCAACTTGATCTGTTATTTCCTCTATCTATTCGCCACATTACATTAAGATAGTCAAAAGTCTTCATCCAATAGTAATTATGAAAAGTTATGCTGACATCTCATGTGGTTTTTAGATTCTTTTAAAAAAGATATACGCATGATTTTTGAAATTAAGCTGAAGCTATTTCTGATTTGATTCTGATACATATTAAAAGTGGAGATTTGTACTGAAGTGTTCAATGCAGTTTGAACGGGTTGATTATTTTCCAATTATGTGAATTGGACAGTTTCTAAGAGATTTTTATTTATTTCTTAATTTAAATAGAAATTTATTTTACTTTCTTATATCAATTAGGATTTTATTTATTTGATTTCCTAGTTCACTTAAGATTCTAATTTTCTAATTTGATTAGGTTTTTTAAGTCTTAGGCCTCAATAGTTTTTGGTGAATTAATAATATTGAAAGTGTGTTATCTTTTTTTTTCCAATTATTTTGATATTCTTAAAAATTAAGATCAATTAAAACCTTTAAAATTAGTATTCTTGTGAATCAACAGTCCTAGAATAAGATTATAAACCCATATTTGTGCATAAATCAATAGTATAATTTCATTATCCCATTTCCATTCATTAAATCCTTATTTTTACTCGCTTCCCTCAGATTATATTACATGATACATATGATTGGTCAATGGTGAGGTTGACCCTTGGAAAACAATATCATCGCCTAAAATAAACCATTGTGTCCTATAGAAAATACAAAAAACAATAATAAAAGACAACCAATTTTTTCCAATAACAACCCTACCATATGCACCCCTCCCCAGCCTTGCTGCTGCCCACTCTCCCTCCCACAAATCCCATCGTAACCATCACCCCTACCCCCATGATATAACTACTAACCTCTCACCGTCAACAACTTTCCACAACCCAAAACATAGAACAATGTCGAGAATTTGGATGGGGGTTTTGTTGGCCTCCAACGGGCCTTAGGTGATGAAGATAAAAGAGATGGCATTGGAAAGATTTCCGATTTCTTCTCAATTTTGAAACAATATAAAAAAATCAAAATCAATTTTGTGGGAAGGGATGGATAGTTGGGGCGACAAGGCAGAGTTATGGGTTGGGAAGGGGATGATGGAATTGAGGTGCTGAGATACGTAGGGATGGTGGAATGATGGAGTCGAGGTAGGGTGAGGAGATTGACGGGTTGGAGGTGAAAATTTGTGCAAGTTTAACACCGGCGAATTGGAGGTAGGGTGAGGAGGAGCTATCAAGGTAGAGGGGAGGTAGGGTGGATGGTTGTAAACATGCATGTGTCTCTGTCTCTGTGTATGTGTGTGAGAGAGAAAGAGAAAGAGACAGAGAGATAGAGGTGGGAATACAAAAGGATTTCTACAATTGGTCATATGAAAAAAGCTCAAGTCGCTCACTCTTTTCTCAATGATTATAATTGTGCCCGAGTGTAGATATAGTGTTGAGTATAGATGTTTATCTGAAGTTAATGATTCCAAAGTATTTATACAAAGTTTGAATCTGGGGTGGATAGGACCACGAGATAAGACTAGTTAGAACTAATCTATGTCTCTAGTACGCTCCCGCAAGTGAAGTGACATGAAGAAGGCTGAGCTTTTTACAGAGTTACTAAAAACAAGATGTTGAAAGCAGTTTTACAGGAATGTTTGGCCAGTCTATCTTTGGTGGATTTGTAATACACATCAAGATTGTGGTTAGTGACATTTTCAAAAACAATGTTGAAGGCAATATCTGCATGCTTCACACGGTTGTGGAAGATTAGATTTGTTGTAAGACAGGTGGTGATAACATAATCAGACCGTAGGGTGGCACTTCTAACCTAGAGGATATGAAGCTCTCTAAAAAGGGATAGAAGTCGTAGTAGATCACTAGTGGCATCGGCAAGCAACATATATTTAACTTCGGTTCTTCAGTGAACAGCAACCCGTTGTCAATTTGGGGCCCTGCTGATCTGTGATCATCAAGGCCGTCAGCCCAGCCCGCATCATAAAACTATGAACACAGCCAAATAAATTGGAAAAAAGAGAGAAGAAAATGAAGCAGAAAATGAAATCATAAAATTATGTGTAGTAAACTAAAGAGGCATGCCTGTATGTGCAACATTAGTAATCCGAAAGAAAACTTTGAGAGTTGAGACTTCGAGGTTTGAACAAAGCATGTTAAAATTTTATTTCTTGAAAGCAACATAAGAAAATACAAAGAAGGAATTTTTTTCAAGAACATGAAATCATTCTGCAACCAGATGAAGAGTTATACATGCATAAAATTATATTAAGGTTCCAATTTCCATGTGGGGCATCAGCATCACAGATAGATAGTTTCTTCTTTTGTCTGGGATCATTTTTTTGGGTTTTTTTTTTTTCGGTTGGGGGGGTTGTAGAACTGAATGAGAGAGGGGGAGGCCGTTGTATCACTTCATGAGATGCTCCTCAACAGCCAATTCCTCAATCATGTTCAGCTGGTTGAGGGGATTGAAGGCTCGGGTCTCAGAACATTTACAAGGAAATATTCTGGACCCAATCCCATGATCAAGTGCGTGAACAGGCTTCGAAACTTTACGCGCAATCACAACAGAATTGATAACCTCATCGGTAGGATGAAAGATCGAAAGAACCTCGAAGCCTCGCACATGACAAGGATCAACCACAGGGTAAAGAAAAGCCCGAGCACCATGAGCACTCCTCAGCATCAACAGAGCTCCTGGAGCCATGTACTTAGCCAAATGATCGATTACTCGAACCTTCTCCTCCGCGTCCATTCCCACTAGCGCTGCCAAGAAAACGACGTCATAGTCTTTCAAGGCACTCGAAACATCAAATATATTGGTCGTATGGAAGAACATTCGCTTAGATAAGTCAGGATCGGATTCAACTAAGCGATTAGCCATTGAATTAGCAGAGGGGTCGATATCATAGTTGTGAAAGGAGGCGGTGGTGAGGTGATAAGAGGCCAGTACAATTGAGGTGAGAGGGAGGGGACCTGAGCCAACAAAGGCTACACGAGTAGGGACTTGGGTACAGTGTTGGCTCAAAATGGTGAATTCAAGATGGCTGAGTTTACGGTAATTGGAATAGTATGGGAAGATGTTGAGATTGTGAAGAGGGTTTTCAAATGAACCCAAGAGGGTAGAGAAATGGCTCTCTAGAAAACCCTCAGCTTCACCACAGAGTCTGATGAGTTTGGACCTGATCTCTTGAACTTTATTGTTCAGTTTGGTTACATCAATGGAGATTGGTGGTATGCACGTGAGAACAAGTTGGGTGAAGAGCATGTCGACATCTTTGGAGGGTTTGAGATTCTCAAGACTTGAGATTTTCTCATAGAGATCACAGATTTTCTCAACCAAAAGCTCTTCTTGGCAACCCATGACGACACTATGAGGAGTCTCTCTCAAAGAACACCCACAAGCTCTTCCAAAGGAAAACTATTGAAGCACACTCTTCTGAGCAATCCAAAGGGTCACTATATAGGGCACCTGTGTGGTCCCCACAAAGTAGGGAGGGAGGGATGAAGCATCCTACATTATTCATTAGGACTTGTTTTTTTTTTTTTTTTGTATGGTTTATATGTGGTTTCTGACTCTATGTTCTTCCTTTTTGATAACTAATTTTCACTTATTTTACTTTGTCCAACTTGTAAATGTACATTGCACTAAAGAAAGCTTGAGTTTTGGATGTCTTGATGCTTAGCTGGTTATCATTAGATTTTTGCTTGGGGTATCTCAACTTTATGCTCAAAAGCATTTCTCAGATAACAAGCACCTAAAACAAACTATTCAACAATTTTTTTCCTAAATTTTGGCACTATTTTTCTCGACATGAAGAGGATATCCCAACTGGTTAAGTCGGCCTCATTCGATTGCAAAAGATGTTTATCTTGTGGAAATAAACTTACTAACACTTGTAACCCTAGAAAAGAATTTGGCCAATTTTGAATTGGACTAATTATTATATAGAAATATAATGTTAGAATATGAGCTTAAAAACAGTTGGACTCAAACCGAACCAAAAGGCTTAGACTCAAGCTTAAGTGATTTTGTTTCAAACTTTGTATGTCAACCTATTTTGTTTTCTCGTGCAGTCGATGTAGGATGGTTTTTTTTTTTTTTTTTTTTTGCCTTTCTCTCATGTGTTCAACTAATTATACTTCACCTCCTTGCTTGCTCTCTTATGAGAAAGAAAAACAAAGTTTCATAGACCTAATACTCTCGCTGCATCCAACACAGCCTTTATGGGAAACATTAAAATACTTTGTTGCAGTTGGGTTTTTGTCTTTTTTTTTTTTTTAATCTTTTATTCGTTTTTTTTATCTAACACAGAAGGAAGTAGGGTTTTTTGGACCACGAAAAGTATATTGTTTTTCTTGGGAGTTGTGATTAAACCTTATGATCCCAATGTCGAAGCATACTTAGATTTTATAACCACTAAGGCATTAGATTTCACTTTCTTTGGGGGGTTTCACAGTTTGTCCACATAATAAAGGGAAAATACTATGCTTACAAAAAAGTTTTACCAAATCTTCCATATCAAATCACGTGCACAATCTTCGTCATTGAATATTAATAGGACCCACTTATCTGATAGTGAAAAATTGCGCCACATGATTTGGGATGAAAATTTGGTAAAAAATTTGTTTAGCATAACATTACCCATAATAAAGTAGAGCTTGCCATTTTTGATATTTAACAATTATTTTTATGCTGTATATATGTGGGTCTGCTTGAAGACTAATAGAAATCATATCGGTATGTGGTCAATATTTTTTGGGTTCATTATACCACAAAATGGCGGATACTAAAACTTCTTCGGCCAAGGAGACAACTATATATGCTATGCACCAAGCATGCATGCAATCCATTTTTGCACAAATTTTTTGTAATGGTTGACATTATTGGCACTCTGAATGATATAAAGATAAAGTCCAGCTTTTAAACTTTGCAAACTTCAATTAAGAATAATATTTAGCAGATGCTATTTGTGATGCTAGACATGATAAGAGCGGATGGAATATATGGCTCACTGGACAAGGTGATTAAGTATTGTGGTTTAATGGCATGTGTGCCTTTTAGCAGACCTTTAGGGGCATATTTGGTTCGGGTATAGAATGACAGAAAATTGAATAATTCATTCCATTTCAATTTATAATTGTGGTAATAATTGATTAACATTTTCTCTTCCCCTTATTATAACATTTTGGGAATGTTTGACTGAGATGTGAGTCCATTGTTCTAACAGTATATCGTGTGTGAATGAAGTATTAGTGTGTAATGTAAGTTTAAAAAAACAAATGCACCTTATATTGATACATAACTTTCAAGCTTACAGGGATACTCTTATTATTTTAGACATTAGTTTGAAGCATGTCTCATTACATATTGTATGTTATTCTTTATAACAAAATGCTATTTGGACCAAATCAATGAGAGATGTTGGATTAAAAAAAGATTATATCTAACATAGGAACTCGCAATTGATACAATGATTGCATTGAATTGAATCTCTGATTAGGTCCTCAAATTCGGTCCTTATAGCATTGCTCCTCTTTATATCAAGGACAAAGTGTTACATGATAATTTAGCATTGGATTGTACTAATAAAGTTACGATAATTTAGAAGTCGGTACGAAAATGTAGACTTATTTCAACTAAACTACGTTAGGAAAACTTATTTGGCTTTAAATATATTTTTTTGAAAAAAAGACTAAAAAATCATTTATTACTCTATTACTCTCTTTCCATTAGTCTCTCATTCTCTCTTCCCTATTTTATCTCTATCTATTTTTCTCTCTTTCTCTCACATTGATAATGTATTTTTTAAAAATATATAAAGATTTAATTTAATTTCTTCATCTCTGTCTCCCCTATTTTCTCTCTCATTCTCTCCCCTTATTTCTTTATTCTCTCTCCCCTTATATAAATGTTACAACAACATAATTACGTTAATCAATTATACCAATTAGTTACAATTACTTTATATTACACCAAATAGTTACTTTTACAATTACCTAATACTACATCAAACAGTTACACTAAATAATTATACGAATTACAACACAACATCAATTTGTCATTAAGTTATTTACAAAAATTTAAGAGTTACACCAATTATATACACTAAATTGGATTTATCATTACACAAAAATTTTTACCATTATACTAAATTTGGTATATACAATTGGTGTAACAATGTCGTGATACTAAATGATATAATTATTTAGTTTATGTAAACTACTGAATAACAACCTAGGTTGGTGTCATAGTTTTGTGTAATCGTTTGGTATAACTGTTTGGTTTATTAGATGAGTTAATGTCATAATTTTGTGTAATTGTTTGATATAACTGTTTAGTTTATTAGAATGCATGCGTAATTGTTTTGTATATTATAAGACAATTATCATTGATTATGCAACAAAAAGACGTCAACGAGAGGTATAGAACGAATGTCATAGAGAGGCAGAAATTTTATTATTCAAAATTACAATAACAAAAACCCTCCTATTTCTCAGATTCTCTTATTTCTTATGCTTTCACACTCTCTTAATAAACTCGTACGGAAAGAGTTTAAAGAGGTATAGAACGAATGTCATAGAGAGGCATAAACTTTATTAGTCAAAATCACAATAATAAAAACTCTCCCATTTCTCAAATTCTCTTACTTTTTATGCTTTCACACTCTCCTAATACACCCGTACAGAAAGAAGTCAAAGAGAGGCAGAAACTTTATTAATCAAAATCACAATAATAAAAACTCTCCTACTTCTCAGATTCTCTTATTTCTTATGCTTTCACACTCTCCTAATAAACCAGTAAAGAAAGAGGTCAAAGAGAGGTATAGAACGAATGTCATAGAGAGGCAGAAACTTTATTAGTCAAAATCATTTTAATGAAAATTCTCTTATTTCTCAGATTCTCTTATTTCTTATGCTTTCACACTCCTAATAAACCCGTACAGAAAGAGGTCAAGGAGAGGTATAGAATGCATGGCATAGAGAGGCAAAAACTTTATTGTTCAAAATTTATCAAATTCTCATACTTCTTATGCTGTCACACTCTCCTAATGAACCCGTACTAGGTTATTTTATTTAATCTATGCCGGAGATAACAATCATGAATTAAATAATTCGTTTAATGGCTCCAATTGGTTCTTTCTTGTTCGTTGGTCAATGATTGGCATCCTTTCGGTTCACACTAGCTAACCAAATAAATATGAATTACACTTGTCTTGTCCTAATGCTTTGCATGCAAGCACTTAGGTCGTTACAATTAATTAAGCAATATCCTATACAAATAAATTGGTCGAACTCACCCCTAATTTAATAACAGTGAACAGAAAAAAAATATAATGACAAATTAATTTATAATTATGAATTAATCAGAGGTAGTATTAGGGGTATTCATCTTACCTTAATGGTAAGAATTATATTATTTCATTTTTCTACTCGATATTTTGTGGAAGAATTTTTTCTTGATCTATCCTACCTAATCAAGTGTACTATTCTTATCCGAATTCTGTTCAAAACAATCGGATAAAAAGTCAAATAAACACTTATTTTTTAGTTATTAATTTTTGGATCAGTTTAACAATTTAATTAAATAATTTGAACTAATTAATTAACACAATAAACAAATAACACTACAGAAAATACAATAAATTCGATAATAAATAAACAATTACAATAAAATACAATAAGAAATCCATAAATATCAATAAAACATTAGTGTTTCTAAATTTTTGGATTTTATATTTTAGGAATTAACACACACATATTTTTGCAGGTGTGTGCAGGTAGGGTAGGGTACGAAAATAGAAATTTTGTAGATATTCCGCATTCCTATCCGATTTTTTATGAAATACCAAAAAAACTTATGTTGGTCTACCCAAATCTTTTAAATAACCGATTAATAAAATCGAGTAGGGTAAAATAGGATCGAAATTTGTGAATAATTAAAAATTTGAACACTCCTACCAAATAGGCATGCCCTCACGTACAAGTTCTGAAAACGAATAATAGCCTCAGCTATCTCTTGGCCTCGCTCAGATGCGAAACTTGATTCCACTGCACCTTGATATTTCTTTATACTTTTCCATGGATGCTGCTTAATTGTGCCATCTTAGAGTAACTTCTTTGTTAGATGTCGTTTGATAATGCTTGTAAAATATTTATCTTCTTTTGAAATATGTTATTTTAGTATTTTGGCTTTGTTGCTTTTATTTATATATATTTTTTTAAAATCCGGGTTTACTTTCTTTCTCTAATTTATTTTCACTTTTTTGACATAACTATTTATTCCTTAAAAAAGTTAATTAAGAAAGCATTGACAAATGGTGCAATAGTTAATGAATATTTGAGAGTTTACCATTGAGCCTT